GGAGCTGGGACTCCAACTTGCAGAGGGAGGGGTCGGCATTCAACAAAGACCTTGGCCCTGTTGTTTTAAATAAGAAATTTATTGCAAATATAGAAATTGATTCTCTCCATACAGGAATCTCCGAGTTGAGGAAAACAATTTCGTGCCATTCAGTTTAAAACAGGAAATCGGGAGGAAGGGGAGGCAGATATAGGGAAGAGAAAATAAATGAAGTCCCCCCCCCCGACCCTGAAAAGAAGAAAAGGACAGTTCAGGCCCCACCGAGGGAGGAAGGGTCCACACACAGCTAGGGTTCACAGGTTCATAGCCCGGGGCCAGGAGCCCAACTCTGCAGACCCAAACCAGGTGCCAGGCGGCAGGGCAGGGCCGAGGGGCTGGCGGCTCCTTGGGGAGGGAGGAACCAGGAGTGGGCCCCTCGGCCCTCCCCAGCCCTGTGCTTGTTTGGCGAGAGGCAGGGGAAGGAGAGGCCGCCCAGACCCTCTCCCCCCACCCCATTCGACCCCCCTTCCTCTCCCTACTGCTGGGCAGCAGAGATGGACCTTTAACGGGGGGAACTCTGGAGCAGGCGTGAGAACAGGAGTCTAAATACTGGTTCTGACTTAAAGGTGCGAGGATGGACAGGTGGCCGTGGAGCAGAAGTCTTGGCAGAGAGGAGATCAGCGTTGCGGTCAGGCGAGCCCCAGCCTTCACACTGGCCTGGCAGGCAAGCTTCAGCCCTGCCCCTTAAGCCCCGTAGGGGCCAGACACCCCAGGGCTTCCCCATGCCTTGACCACCCAACCCCCCCCGGAAAGAGAGCCCCGCTCCCTCAGGAATGGGGTGGGATGCTGCTAAGCCGTGGGGTCCTCGCAGGGCAGGGCCAGGGGAGTGGGGGGCACCCGAGGAGGTACTTGGGGACACCCAGCTCCTCCTACCCTACTCCTTCCTGCTCCCGTCACATCCTCCCATGGCCAGCAGTCTAGTCCTCAGACTCTGTCATTCAGAGCTTGGCTGCCGGTCACCCCTGCCCTGAGGGCTCCCCAAGGCCCTCGCCCTCCGTCACCCTATTTTAATTCTCTGTGCAGTGCCCATCACTGGGGAACAGTTTGAGGTTGTCCCGTCACTGCATGTAAGCCCCTTATAAGCCAGGACCTGTCACTCTTGTCTCCCGTGCCCAGGCCCCTTTCCTGGCCTCAGTCTGTCTTTAAATGGGTTCTAGACCTTAGAAGCTTTCTTTCCTTCCCCTTCCTGTGCCTCTGTTTCCCCCTCTGTTAAATGCCCAGGACGTGGAGGGGGGCAGGTGAGCGACTTCCTGCTGGGAACCATCAGAGCCCCCCGGCCAGGCCCAGCCTCTTCACCCTGCCTCTCTAGGGCTCTCCAGACCTACTCTCCCCAAGCGGGTCTTTCCACTCCCACTGCCCCGCACACAGTCCTTTCCTGGCCTGGACACAGGCCACCACAGTCTTCCTGCTCTGTCCCCTAGGAGGGGTCAGAGGCGAGGGGCCTTTGGGCGGCCAATACAGGCCCTTCCTGCAGAGGGGAGAAACAAGCCTGGAACCCCCAAGGAGGCGGCCGCCCCAGACTAAGCTTTCTTCTTGCCAGACCTCCACTTTTCACTTCTGGAAGGCCGTTAGCTCCAACAGAGGGTTCGCGGCCCCTACCTGTGCTCTCCAGGAGAGCGTGGACCCATGGGTGCCCCTTCCCAGGAACAGGCACCCAGGAGGCTCGAGAGATTCTGTGATAAGGGATGGCAAGCCTGGGCACGACCCAAGGCAGGTCCCAGGAGGTCCAGGATGCGGCACTCACATCTCCTCCAGCTGGCTCGCCCCCTCCACTCCACCAGGTCCCTCGTCCCTCCTCCCCGGGACCTTCCCTTCTCTCCTGGTTGCCTGCCCTCCTGGCCCGCCCAGGCCATGGCCCAGGTCCACGTGCTCACCTCCATTACAAACACAGGACCCGGGCCAGCCAGATTCCTTGACATAAATGTTCATTTGACTTTCGTGACTATTTCGCCCTGCGCACCCCCCCCGCCCCCCGAGGAAAAATTATCCTGAACAGGACACAGGACACAGACGCAGGAAGGCCTCCAGGGTGAGCTACTGTGCAGTGGTCCCCTCCCCAGAGCTACGGCCTGGTCTGGGCAGCTGGGGGACCGTCTTCTTCCTCAAAGATCTGTACGACCTGGGCTGTGAATGTCGGTTCACCTCCTGGGAGTGGAAGACCCTTGTGGTTAAGACGCAGATCTCTCCTTTAGAGCGCCCCGAAGCCGGCCTGTCTGAGGTTTTTATAGGTCATCTTCAACCAGGAATGATGGGGGAATGAAGGCGGCTCTGTCTCCAGTGAGGCCAGGCCAACGTCGGGGGGGGGGGACCCCCTCCGCCTATAGGTTCCTCCCTCAGGGCCCCAAACCTCCCCGTAGGGCCACCCATGAAGCCCCAAGCTCTGGGCTTCCTGTACTCAGCAGTGTGCCTGGGCCTCCCCACCCGGCAGCCAAATCACCAGACCCCGACTTCTTCATCTGCAAAATGGGAGCAAGTGGGACAGAGGAGAGGTCCCCCCACGCCCCCTTCCCCGGGGCTGTCCTTCCCGAGCAAGGAAGAGGCCAAGGGGCGAGGCCGCGTGGGAGGAGGGGAGGCGGGTGTGGGCGGGGCTGTGTTTTGGTGGCACCTGTTTTGGGTCTTTCGCAGAGCTGGCCCGTCCCCACGTTTCAAGAGCTGCTTGTCAGATCACAACAGAGGGACTGTGGGAACGGGGCGGGGGGCGGCGGGGAGGGGGGCAAGGGAGTCTGGACAAACTGGCACATACACGACAGATGTTTGCTCAGAAAAATACAGTAAAACCGTCATGCAAATATAACAGGGAATCTGCTTCCTCACATCACTGGCTTCTCGGCCTGCTTGCTTTTCTGTTTTGCCAATCCGGTCTGAGGAGGGGCTGGGGGGCAGGATTTGGGGAGCCGGGGGAGGTCTGCTCTGCACATCCATGCTGGCCCCCTCCCCTCCACTCCCCAGGAGAATGGTCCTTTCCTTGCAAACGTCACCCCCAAAGTGAGCCCCGGGCTTGGTCCGTGCCCCAAGTAGGTGTGAGAGGGGCTGGGTTGAGCCCTAAGGTCCCCTCGGCCTCCACGGTCCTCCCCCAGATCCTTCAGGAACAGCAGTACAGCTTCCCTGTCAGAATGCCCCCCGCAGTGCAGGTCTGGGTCCCTCCCAGCAACCACCCTCACCCCACGGTCACACTCTCCAAATCTCAAGACACCCAACTGGGTGACAGGCCAAAGGCGGGAGGGTGGGGAGGGTCAAGTGGGCTCCATCCCCGCCTGCGGTGGGTGATGCACCAAGGGGCACACTGGCAGGTGGGCAAAGCTACAGTCTCCGCCCCCCACTGGCCCACCTCCCATCCACAGGCGAAGGGACGGCCGACTCCAGCCCCTCAGCACCCTGACAGTGTTCAAGACCCCGCGGTCTCAGGAACCCAGACCCACCCCCTTACAGCGCCCCAGGAAGCCCCTAGCTCTTGAGAAAGGCAGCCACCCCCTCTGGGCCTGCCCTCTCTCACCGCCCTCTACCACCCACACTGAGAGAGAGAACCCCCAAGAGGCCAACGGTCCCAACTGCCAGGCTCTGGGTTGCCATGGCGACAGAGGCTGGCCAGGGACGGGAGGGGCTCCGGGAATCCAGCCTGCTCCTTCCCAGCAGGGGTGAGGTGGGAGTGCTCACCGTTTGTGCTTTATTCGATGTAGGATGGGGGTCAGCAAGGGAGGAGTGGCCATTTCCAGGGAAACATGGGAGTCCCTCAGGCCAGGGGGGTGGGGCAGGGATGGGCAGCCAAGAAGGGTGAGTGGAAAAGCCCCAGAAAGCCCTCCTTCCTCGGGGCAGGCTGAGA